CCTTTTACAAGCCTGGCCCACCTCCAGGTGACAACTTTGTGGTTATGGAGCACACTATGAGAAGTAGGTCCCTTAGAATTTCATACCCCTTAAGCATGTGGCAGGCATGTGAGATGGTCCAGTAGGAGGGAAGGCCACCCTGTGGCCATGGCTTCACTCTTATCTATCAGTGACTCACTTCAATATGTTCAGTTCATAAAATCCATGCATGCAGAAGTAACATTCCAGTTCAGAAACAAGAGGGCATTTGTGACAAGTTCATCATTTTCTATACTCAGAGGTCTAATTGAGTGGTCCTGGGCAGGGTAGAAACTAACATTCTGATAAGTGAGTGAGTGAGTGACAGAGGGAAAGAGAGAGAGGGAGAGAGGAAGAGGAAGAGAGGAAGAGGAAGAGGGAGAAGGAGAGGGAGAGTGGGAGGGAGGAAGGGAAGGAAGGAGGGGAGGGAGGGAGACAGAGGAAGGGGGAGAAGGGGAGAGAGGGGGAGAGAGAACTACCCCTCAGACACACAAACTTGGTGCAGTGAAGATGGGCGGGGTGCTACTCCACAGCACCTGGGTTCCAGTCCCAGCACTCACATTGCAGTGCATAGCAGTCTTTAATTCCAGTACTAGGGGATTTGATAAACTCTCTGGTCCCTGTGGGCACTAGACATTCATGCGCTCTACAGACATACAAGAATTAAGTAAAACACTCATACATATAACAACAATAATAATAATAACAACAACGAACTAAGTCCACAAATACAAAGCACCGGCTATGTGCCAGGCACTCCCTTGGGTCACAGACCTGTAGACATTAGCATCTTACCATCAAGAGTAAGAGACAGTAGCACACAATTTTAATCCCAGCAGTTGGGAGGCAGAGGCAGGTGGATCTCTGTGAGTTCGAGGCCAGCCTGTTCTATAGAGCTAGATCCAGGACAGGCTCCAAAGCTACTGAGAAACTATGTCTCAAAAAAAAAAAAAAAAAAAAAAAAAAGAGTAAGAGACAAAAGATCAACTATCCATAATAGAATGCTTGCCTAGAAAGAAATTCTGTGGGGAACCAAAGGGTAACAGAAGCTACAAACAGAAGCTACTATGGCTGGTATCTAAAATACCACCTGACATACCTCACAACTGAGAGCCTCTTTGTGGGAAGTATGGGGTAGAAACCTAGAACCTGGCATCATCTGGACCACATGCAGCTCTGTGGTAATGAGAGATGTAAGTGAACTCTGCTGCATGGTAAGAAAGAGGCCAGAAGGACCAGATCAGGTATATGCTCAGAAGGGTTCCCTCTCAGACAGGGCATTGGAGAGAGAGCAGATTGGGAATCAGCAGGTACCTCACAAGCTACTGTGCTCCTGGAGCTGCAGATGACCAGGGCCTGCAGAAAGAGTGAGGGGGGCACATGGGGAGGGAGGAGGGGATGTCTTAGACTTTAGTAAGTTTGCTAACAGTCACTAAGACTACAGAAGTGTATATATGGATGGGCAGCATACCTAGAAGAGAAGATTCTAGGATCAGACAGACATGACAACTTTGAAATACTGACAGCAGGATGGGGATGTGAAGCAACATGGCTGAGCAGAGGAGACGATGCTGGAGAGACATATCTCCATTTGGAGTAATCAGGAAAGCATCCACACTTCAGACCTCCTGGCTCTTGGCTGTACGTGTCTAGATGTGAGAACAGAGCTACAGGTTACAGACAGGCATGTGAAAGAGTGCAACGAGCCACCACAAGAAAGAAAGCACAGTTGCTATGGGAGGAATTCAAAGCCACCACTATGCCAGGCCTAGAAGCTGAGAAGTGAGCAACAGGATCAGAGCTCTGCCCTCATAGACTTGCATTCTGTACTGAGACCAGCCAAAGGTGAAGATTCTAAAGACAAATGTAACACATCAGGGACTTGGGGTGCACATGCGGAGGCTCGTGTGTCCTTCCACATCAATGGCCAGGGAAGGTCTCACCTGGAAGGTAACACAAGAAGGAACAGAAATTGGAAGGATACAAAGAGCAGACTTGGGAAAGTAGTCAGACAGTGACAGCGGCAGCATGGGCAAAGGATGCTTGGGACATTGGAGAAACAGCAAGGAGGCCTATGAGTTGTTGGGCAGAGGCAGGACAGCAGCACAGTGAGAAGTTCTCAGTGGGAGATGCTTTAGTTTCTATGCTGGGCAAAGAAGGTTACAGATACCTCCAGGATTTGGGAACTGAGAAACTGGAAGGATAGAGATGGCATTAACTATTAACTGCTCATGTCTAGGCTCAGAAGACATTAGGGGACAGCTGGAAAAGTGGCATGGTGCATGGGAAGTGGAGACAGTTGCAGGATCTGCCTCTGGTGTTGTCATCTGCTTCAGTGGGAGCTGCAAGCCTGCCTTGTGCCTGGGTGGCAGCCCTGCCTGCCCTGTGCAGGACAGGCCCAAGAGCTGGATCTTGTGAGAAACAGAAGGAAGGAGGTCACCACACAATGACCAGGAAACACGCATAGACACCAGTGGGAATGCAGGCAAGAACGAAGGGACAGAGGAGAGGGCCTGAATACCCAGCGAAGGGGAAGACGTCTGTTCACCTGGTGTCCTGACCTACATACTTACTTTTTAGTCATACAGCCGACTGATTTCCAACCAAGTAAGGATTTTTACAGTTGACTACTTAAAGTGCAAATAACTTCTGAAAGGTCCTTCAATTCGCCTAGTGGGGAAATGAACGTAGGATGCTGACTTCCCATTACTGAATTTGTATCAGCTACTCTGTGATGCATGTATGTGCACATGGAGGCCAGGGGTCAACCTCGGGGGTCTTTCTTCAGTGATGCTGTCTTCTGCCTTGGTCTTTTCCAGACAGGGCCTCTCACTAGGCTGAGCATATACCAAGTAAGGATAGACTGGCTGGCCAATGACCGGTCTCTGCCTCCCCAGTGCTGAGGCTCTAACTACTGAGGGGTAGTTATGAGTACTGTACACTATGCCTGGCTTTTGACTTGGGTGCTGGGGAGAGGCAGCGGAATGTGGTCCTCCTGTGTACACAGCAATTTACCAACCTAATTAGCTGCTCTGCCCCACCAAATGATACTTCTTAAGCTGTTACTCCATGCCAGGCATCTGTAGGTACTTTACATCCACAGCTCACAATAGCCCTGTGTGACAAATGCCACCGTTATGCTTACTTAACAATGGAGTGTGGCTAGATAAGCCTGGGCAAGGTGATCATGGGACTTCCTAAGAGGTAGGTACCAAAAGGAAGCTCCAAGTGGCAGGGGGCCTTTGGATGCTGTGGATCTCCAGACTGAGGGATGGCTAGGCTTCCTGCAGGGCTCTCATGAGAACCTCAACGCTCTCTGCAGTTGCTTTTCTGGGGAAAATTCTGTTAACCTTTAGAACCTGAGATGTTCACAACCTGAGTGTGCCTTGGGGTGAGCAGGGCCTCTATAAACACGCAGATTCTCAGAGAAGTAAAATCAAGTTCAATAAAAATTATGAGATGATGGATCAGGCACAATGCTGAAACTAGTTATAATTTCTAAATGAACACAGCATCTCTATTAAAGGCTTAGACACTATAGAAATAACACCGTCCATGTATTTACTTTTTAGGGGGGGACAAAGTGCAAATCAATATAAGGAAGACATAATTTTATTAGCGCTACCTATTCTTAGGGCTCGTCTCTCCGCCCTAGGGCTAGGAACTGAACCCAGGGCCTGCGTCATGATGCATCTACCACTGAGCTATACCACCAGCCTACATATTCCTGTGTTAAAAGACATTGATACCTTAGAATAGTCCTAAAATGTGCCATTCTATAGACTAAATCTGCTGAAAGTGGAGTTCTCCCCATCCTGTTTCTACTGTCAGCAGGTGTGCGGTTTGGACCACGGACAGGGTGTAATAAAGCAAATGCCAGATAACTACACAGTAAGAGGACACCTTTGGGGGGGGGCATACAACTTCTCTTTGTTAATGACTGCTAAACCCCAAAGCCACTCCTGTTATGACAGTCAAATGCTGGAATCTCAGAATGAAAGTGAAAATGTTTTGCAAGTGAGACTCACACCATCCCCCTACCCCCCCCAACTTCTCTGTGTCCCAGGGGGGAAAAAACTGGCTCCTGGTGTGCCCATTCTTAGGGAAAGAACTGTCTTCACTTAAAACAGAAGTATCCCTTTAAAACAAAACTTGCAGCCACTTGGTACTAGCTAGGCAAAAAAAAAAAATCAGTGTAGACTGTAAGACTAAGTCTCTCCGGAAACTATCGCATACATTTCCTCCTAACCATGGTAGACACAGTTTTCATCAAAACTTCCCACACACTTCTGGAAACAACTTGGGCTATCATTACCCACACAGGTGACAGGTGTTAAGATGACAGGATATCCATGCATCTATACATGCATCAAAACTAGGTGTTCTACGCAGGCACAGTTCTAGGCGAGGGACTCTGACATACATCCAAAGCCTGCCCCTGCTCTGTGAATCTCGTTCAGGGCCAGCAATGAAGGGCCTGGGGACAAACTGAAAAATAAGTTCACACGGGAAGAACTCAGTGGCGTTGAGCATTGTGAAGAAAAACAAGGCAGGATGGAGACCCAGCATGGTGTGAGAAGTTTCTGTTTTAGACAAGGGATGCCGCTGAGGCCTCTCAGAGGAAAGGGCACCAGAGCTGTCCCCGGAAAGCTGCTGTCCTGGATCACAGAAGCCCCAGCTCACCAGACCCGCTGCCTGGGCCAGAGGCGCAGGTGCCCGCAGCGAAGTCCCAACTGGGACCCACACGCTTCCCTGCCGCTGGCCGACTTTTCCGACTGCTGTCGCCGCGAAGGTCGCAGCCAGCCCAGTGCCCCAGGGACACGCAGGGCAGCCTCTTCCAGCCCACCGCGACTCCCGGCCAGGCTGGCTGGCCGCTGTCCGGGGACGCGCGGAACTCTGGCTGCGCCCGCGCGAGACCCCCGGCCGCAGCGCGCGTGGGGCGAGGACGCGGCCGAGACAAAGCGGCGGGGCGCAGCCCTCACCTGTCCAGCCAGAAGGTCCAGGGCGAGTGCAGCGGGACGCCGACCGGCTCTGGCTGCAGCGCCGACAGCGGCAGGCCGAGAGGCTCACCAGCCCCGGGGGGCGCGGCGGCCGGGGGCAGCGCCATGTTCTTCGCCGGCCAGGCCGCGGACGCGCGGACCCGGGCGCCTAGTAGTCTCACGGCGCCAGCCCCGCCCCGCCCGCGCCCCGCCCCGACCGGCCTCGGCCCTGCCCCAGCCCAACAAAGGCCTGCCGGCCCGCGCCTGGAGCAGGGGACCAGAGTCACCCAGCTGGCCCCACAGCTGGGGCCAAGGACAAATAGAAGGTCCGGCCAATGGATCAGTGTGGTTGGAATCTCAAAGTCCAACAGTGCCAGGGAGGAAGGAGAGATAGATTGACATACCAGCAATCTGAAGGCTGGATGGATGGGAAGGCAGGCAGATGGCTGGAGGAGGGACAGAGGGATGGAAGGGCAGATGGAAGCACAGTTGGATGTGACAGAGAGATGGAGAGAGGACCAATGGCCGAGCAGATAAAGAGGCTCCAATGTCTGAGAGTGCAGAAACAAGGTATTAGACAAGGATAGAATCTGGCAACACTGAGGCCAGGGAGTATGGAAGCTTTGCATGCCTAGTGGTGAGAATAAAGTTGCCTAACTCAGTGTATTTAAGGGACCAGGGCTATCTTCCTTTTCTCTCTAGATGTGCCCACAGAATGCCCAGCTTCCAAGAGAGTCCTCAGAGTCAGCCAAAGTTCTGCAGGTCGACCTCCAGGTATGGCAGAGGAAGAGGGGAGGAAGCTGCAGTTCTGTACACACAGCCTACATGTGTGAAAATCCAGGAAGTCACTGTAGCTGTGAGACTTCTGAGTTCACAATAAGAGGAACCCTCTAGCAAGGCTCCTCCTAGGCCTCTGTTACTCTCTTCATGAGAAAGGCAAAGGTCTGGAGGCATGCTGGGAGCCCTGGAAACAACCCTCTTTAACCCACATTTCGAGGTAGTACCTTTCTGGCCTCCAACAACTGGGGACATGGAGCTGGTCACCTAGGTCATTTTCTACCTGACAGCACTCATTTTGCTTTCTCCTTGAGGGAGAAGACCTGGTGAACACGATGGGATGGGGGCTTTATAGGCTCATAGTGGGTTGTCCCTCAGGACTGCTGTCTTCCCTATGAACCAGCCAAGGTAAGATAAAATGACAATAAAACAATGTCTACTTTATGATCCAACAGAACAAGATTCTGGAAATGTGACTGTTTGGTGGAATGTTCCAGCACTGAGGTATTAGGATCCATCCATCTGGTCAGATGCATTTGTTGTTTAATCTTTCTTTAACCCTTTCAAAAACACATAAATGGCTTTGTTCTGAGAGCTCCACCTTATTAGCTCGTGCACCCCTTAAATAATGTGATGCGGAAGATACTATCCACCCATCTTGCAGATACAGGGCAGAGTAGGCAGGTTAACCCTAGGGCACATGACTAGTACATGGCAAAGCTGGGGTTTGGACAGGTGTGTTGAAACTCTAGGGTTTCCACCGCCAGACTCTCCTGCCCATCTGAATGAAAAATGAAGGTTCAGAGAGTAAAAATAAGTCATCAAGGAGAGGTCTCTCTCCCTCCCAAGATGATCAGTCTGCTTCCCAGAGGAAACTGCTACTAACAGCTTCTGAAAAATTACACATCTGTGCATACAAACATACATCTCAATTTATAAACTGTATCTCCCAATCTTTTTATAGAAGAAACAGATGTATTGAACATCGACGCTGCACTTTCTTATCTTATTGAACATTCATTATGTCTCTGAACATTTTTCCATGTCAAAACACACAGCTCTACTTCACCACAAGGGTGTCAAGAGGACTCACTGTAAAGACGCAGCCACCAACAGTATGTACTTTCTAGTTTCCTTTATAAGTAAATCCATCGTGGGCATCTTTGTAACTGCTTCCTCATCTGTATAGGCTAACTTCCGAAGGAGTTTGGTGGACAAGAACAGCTTCCTCAATTTAAAAGTCTAGTACATGTTGCCAAGTTGTACAAGATAAGCACATATCCATGTATGTGAGTTATTAATATCTCCTGGCTCTGAGGACTCAGATTTACTAAGTGACATTTATCTGTAAGAAATTCTAAGGCATCGGTAGAAAGGATGGCTGCTTTCTAATGACAACAACTAGCCAAACTGTGGCAGTTTGAATCTTCCTCACACCCTGTGACAATCACTCAGCAAGGAAGGTCTAGTTTTAAATTTCTATCTGCAGTTCCTATAAATAAAAAGTCACACAGCAAATTCCTTCTAGGATTTAGGATCAGAAGAAGTCTGAAAGTTTTTCTGCATTATATATCACTCTTTTGCTTTAGCTTCTATTAGCCTCAAGATCATAACATGGATATTAATCGATGAAGGAGCTCCTATATTTTTTATGTTTATTTCTACTTATATTTTAATGGCCTAACTGAATCTTATACTGTGAAGGCCTGAAATCTATTTGGGAAGTTGGTGATATATAATGAGTAAAATATAAATGCCCTCAGGTTAATAAAGAATTCAGGCAACATGACTAAAGCAAGGAGAGGCAACTGCGAACTCCTCTGTCCTCTTCCCACCGAACACATGTTGATTCTCATTATGCTTCAAAATTACACTTCACTGACAACACATCAGGCACATTTCACTTGTATTCCTCACGTCACAAGTAGATGGCAGGAGCCAGAACCTCTGGGTAGATGGGGCACTTAGTGTTCCCCTAAACAAACACATGGCTATAGGAAAGAGGAAACTCAAGGCCTGGAGAGGTGAGCTGACTTACCTGAGGCCACTGCTCTAGGACAGGACATTACAGAGGCAGAACTAGGACGTGGGTTGCTTGAGGTCCAGGCCAAGGTGCTCTCTCATTGCATAACACACAATGCAGATGCCTTGGGGTGGCAGGCGAGAGGAGAAGGTGACCCCACAGCCCCTAGCAACAAAAACAACAGAAAGGACTTGAGGCACTCATAAATAATTAAGCAATTAGCTACAGCAGTGACTCCCTCCCCTCCGGTATCCAGTCACCAAGGCAACTTGGGCAGGGTGCCTGCTGGTTGCCTGGTAACAGTGTGGTCTGTTCCCCTGACATGCTCCCTAGGCATCAAAGGATTTGAGAGCTAGGAAGAACCTTCAGCAGGGATCAGCATTCTAACCCCTTCATTTTCCAAATGAGGAAACGGAGGCCCAGAGAAGCTGGGTAACTTGCCCAAGGTCACACAGCTACTCAGTGTCACAGCCAGACTCCATTTCCACTGGCTTTCCATTAGTGTACCAGGGATGCCCCAGGAGGACTACAGATGAGAGAGAGGCTCTCTATGGTTCCTAGAAGAACAAGAGAGTCGAAGCCAGTGAGCAAGCAAGAAAAAGACAGAGACCTTGAGTGCTCATGTGCAATTAGCAGAAGCTGGTAATCCCATCAGCCCAACTTTCATCATCACCATGGCAACATGGGTGAGGCAAGTACTGGTTGCCTAGTAACAAGTAGTCCTCTCTTCCACTCATATCCGGCTCCCTGGGAGGCACAGAAACAGTAGAATGTTGGAGTTGGAAGGGAAGGAAAGACAAGGATGCTAACTCAGTTCTATCCTTTAAACAATGAAGGATGCATGGAGAGTCTGTGCAGGTCATACAGCTCAGGGCAAGCTAGTGACATTCCCTTCATTTACACACTCTGCCACAGCATGGGAAGGTAAACCTCCTACTCCAAAGTCAGAATGTGAGTGTAAACGTCTAGGTGTTTCTTTGAGAGGAGACAGCTCTACCATGTGTCTACATAATGGGAATGCTACATTCAAAACTCAGCATAGAGTAGATCCCAGCAGTTCAACTTTGAGTCTCTGAGGCCAGAAAGTCTGAGTCACACGTGTCAAGATTCCACATATGAGCAATGGGCATCCCAAGCCGCAGATCCCATAGGCCATCATTAAACGAGACAACGTACACATTGCGGGGCAATCACAAAGATATGGCCAATGTTCCAATCCGTGAATGCTCGCATATCCACTATGCCCACGAGATCACCAGGGAACAATACAGACAGGAGAAACCCATGTCACTGTCTATGACCAGGGTGTGTGCAAGTATATAGCTATATGTGTAGTAACATGTTAAGTGTTTGTTGGATGGGTCCAGGCCCTCGTTGGCAATGTGCTGTTTACATTGCTGGGCTCCTTCCCTGAGGCTGAGAAGTTTCCTGTTTACAGCTTGTGGTGCTATAAATACCCAGGCCCTGCCTGCTTCCACCTAGACTCTCCAAAGAAAAAGGACGTCTGTGACCACTAGGTGGCGCACCCCAGACTCTCTAGACACAAAGTAAAAGACATATAAACAAGACTGGGGCATAGACCTGCATAGAACTTCCAGCAAAGCCAGTTTCTTGGTCCTAAAGCCATGGCTTGAGGGGTGGGGATGGGGGCAGGAAACTAGTCTGGGACTCTAACAGGGTGAAGGCAGACTATAGTATACTTTAACAACAATTACTTTGCCTGGATTTGGACTAGGCTTTGACTGCAATCCATGAACATTAAACTTGCTGGGCCCCCTATTTCTCACTCAAGAAAAAGATGCTAACATAAGCTCCCATTGGTATGAGTGTCCTCTTTTATAAGCTGCACACAGTAAAAGCTCAACCAGTGTTAACTGACCTCAACCAGTGTTACAGGTTCTAATGACCCTTGAGGGTCTGGTTCTTGAGCAGCAAATGAAAAGAGGTGTAAAGGAAATTGCACTGGACTTTTAGAGTGCAGTCTTTTGATCACTGAGCCTGGAGAAATGTGGCAACCAGGCCAGGGAATTCTAAACTCCATAGCTACCCGTGTGCCAGTGTGGGCCATGTCCTGTCTTTTCTACACTTCCTGTGTTGGCCTTCCTTCCTTTCCAAGGAAGCCACCCACTCCTGCTCCTCATTTCTTGAGTTTCAGCAAAGGACATCAAGGGCAGCTACTACACCCTCTTGGCCAGCCTTTCTGGCCTCCAACCCATGTCTTCTGAACAGTTGACACAACAGCCTAGGTCAAGCCTCCAAACACCCATTCCATGACAGAGCTGTCCTCTTTCCTGTCCTTAGGACTTCTTTAGGGCTGCTAGGCACCTGTGTGTCCATCCCTCTATTGACCCTCCAGGCCCTCTCCTCCTCATAG